TGATCAATGCCTGGCCGCCGTACAAAAAGCGAGGGGGACTTGTTCTAGGTTAAGGCGGCCGTTTCGTCAAGGAAGGCTGAGGTTTTCCTACCTCTATAAAAGGCCACGCAGTTAGAATACTGCGTTTAGGTGTAGTGTGATGATTTAGGCCGAATCAATGGCGCCTAGGAATCATTGATCTGACAGATGCGACGGTTCATCGACGCCACATCGACCAAATTCACCTCAACGAAACTCCGACTTCTACTGGAGAACTTGCCGAAGAAACCCAAGCAAACCGGCCCTGTGATAAACCGCCAACACCTACTGAGGATCAAAGGCAACAGACCCTATTCCATGAATGTCTCCCGACGAGAATACCCCACTGGCACTCCGACGACCAATCAGAAGAGCAAGCCAATTTGACGAAGCTCATTTGAGGGAGAAGAGTTGTGGNGGCGCCTACCCTTGAGCGGCGCGTTACAGTTTCAGGACATTGGCGATCAATCAAATTTGAATGCTGACGTCAATGACATGTGCATAGCTTCTGAATACACGTCATTGGTGGATGGTGCCAGCCAATCCAAGACAGTGCAGACAGAAGCAAGATTATGCAAGCAGTACTGCAATCCCATTGGTGGAAGCTCAGAGAGCCAATACTCTCCATTTGTACATATTATTTAATCACCTTCATTTTTTCAACGAACGAACTACTTACTGCCTGTCCTGCGGCCTTCTCCTTGCGTCTCGTTCTCGTGGGACATTCCGAATCCGTGCCATTGTGGTCCAGTGCTCCTGTGATCCAGTCCGTGATAGCTGATTATTGATTCGGGTCCCTTAATTCATATTGCGTGGTTGGTGTTCCGAGTTCCGTGCGTACTACTGCTGCTAATACAATCATTACTAGTTGGCGTCGCGTGATGGAGCTCCCAACGATCGAGCAACCAAACCTGCAAGCCAGTCCATCCGAGATCGAAGAATTAATCGAACGATTCGAGCTGTGGTGCAGCATTCGCAAAAGTGGTACACAGAATCAGTCAGCTCTATTTCTTACTGCTGGCCGCCGTGACCTGTACTCCCTGTTGAGAAACCTGGCGTTCCCTGAGGCTCCGGCTAAACTACCATACGAGTCCCTGAAATCATTGCTTCTCAACCACCTGCTGCTCACTGAATTCCAAGCAGACGAAAGGGCCAAATTCAATTCCATGACTCGTGCTGACCATGTTTCCTGCCGTGAATTCATCCTGCAGCTAAACAAACAGTATCACGCTGCAACTACGGTGATCGCCTGGAAGAACAAATGTCGGACCGCTTGGTGGCAGGCATCAAAGGTCTGACTCTTCAACGAAAGTTGCTGAAGAAGAAAGATTTAACTTTTGCCGATGCTCGCAAGATCTGTGAGCAACACGACGACCTGATGAAAACCACTTCCAGCGAATCAGTCACATTATTCCAACGGCAGAAGACAAGACCAAACCGACCTCCAATGGCCAAGTGTGTACCAAAGCCGCAACACGAATCTTCAGGCAACGAGGAACATATCAATCCCTGTTTGTCATGTGGAGCTTATCATCTGCGCTGTAATTTCCGCTTCCGGAATGCCAAGTGTCATGTATGCGGGAAAACTGGCCACATTCGGAGAGTGTGCAAACAGCCCTTTAGCAATCTTACCCAACCGACTGCTGGGAATGACACAAACGATTTGAGTGATAGATGAATGGAACCCACTACCATGTTCACTACTAGACTTTAGGCCAGTCGACGAGTTCAAAATGTAATTAGATGGGGATTGAATCAGCCTCTATCCTGGGATTTGGTAGAGGGCCTTCAATTGTTAGTTGCTGTTCCATACTACCTTTTCTTGAATAATTCCCCTTTACAGATACGGACCCCATAAGGGAGGCTGTTCCGTACGCAGAAATGGGCTGTGGTTAAACGGTCGACAAGAAGTCGAAGCTCCAATATAACGTGGTTCCGGGTGGGGGAAGAATCTGGACGCTCGGTTGGCAAAAGCCTTTATCGTCCTGTGCCACCTGACCTGACGTAGTCAAGTACCTCTTAGTCATGAGCTCAATTGCCTAGGACACCAGGGATAGAAACAAAGCAGTGGCAATTTAGCTGTGGCTCAAACGGCAATATTAGCTCAAGTTGGTCAATTGTGCCAACTACCAGCCAAAGAGGTATTTCCGTTATGTCCAATCTAAGTGCAGAATGAGTGAAAAGGTAGGACCCTTGATATTGGACGATGGAGAAGTAGTAACCCGAGAGATGGATATAGCAGTACAATTTAAGAAATACTTCGCAAGCGTACATACGATAGGTCAAATCGTCTCCGCACAACTGGACCTCCGCACCGCTAGACCGGATATCCCCGAATTACACGTGGGGCTGGAGCAGGTGCGCAGAACTCTTGATGAGCGTAACGTCATCAAATCCGCAGGACCAGATGACATCCACCCAGCCTTAGTTAAACACATTGCTGAAGTTCCAGAGGGCCCCTATGCCAAATGCTCAACTAAACTATAGTACAAGGTAGGATATCACAGAGTTGGAAAACAGCAACTGTGGTCACCATACGCAACAGAGGGATGAGACACAAGGTAGAAACCTACCGTCTAGTTGGTCTCACAAGTATCTTGTGCAAAGCGCTTGAGAGAATTATCAGAATCGACTTATGCAAATACCTCACACAGCACCGCTTGATGATTGCGGCACAGCATGGGTTTCTGAAGGAAAATACTGTTTGAGCAACCTCTTGCACTTTTTAGATGAGGTCACAGCAAGATTAGATGAAGGTAAGCAAGTGGAAGTAATAATAATAATAATAATAATAATAATGT